ATTATTATTATTATTATTATAGTTCATTAGAGCACATCCACTGTATTCTACTCTGTTGTACTTGCTGCTACAATAGAGCCAGGCTACTTTAAACTCAATCTGATATACAAGAATAGGCAGTGCTATCCAAGACTTTTACATTTTTTAAATATGTTTGAAAATACAAATGCTGAAATACAAATTTAACCTCCAGATTAAATTAGATTGACCAGTTATTAAAGCAAATAGACTCACTGCATGAGAAAAACAGATTCTCACAGCTTATGTCAGTCAGACACATAGAGTTAAATTTATAAAATCTTCAAGAGACCCCAATAATATCACTGTAAAAAGAAAAACGTGATCATCAGTTGGTTTGTGTGTTGTTTTAGTTCTGTACAAACCCACTGGACAGTTTCTCCTGAGAAAAAGGAAAAACTTTAGCCACCTTATTAGGTACACCTGTTCAACTGCTCATTGGAATAAATATCTAATGAACCAATCACATAACATCTCAGTGCATTTCGACATGTAGACATGGTCAAGACGACCTGCTGCAGTTCAAACTAAGCATCAGAATGATCCCTCATGACCATCTCTATGGTTTAAAGAAAAAGGTCTGAAAGTGACCAGAATGCTTCATACTGACAGGAAAGAAAGAGTAACCTAAATGCAGAAGAGCATCTCTGGACACACATTGAACCTTAAGGCAGAAGACCGCTCCGAGTGCGACTGCTGTCAGCTAAAAAACAGGACGCTAAGGCCTCAGCTTTGGTGGGCTCACAGGACATTGTTTGATCTGATGAGTCTTGATTTGTGTTGCGACATTCAAATTGTAGGATCAGAATTTGGTGTAAACAACAAGTGTTGTGGTGTAATGGTATGTGTGTGTGGGGGGGGGTTTATTGGCACCCTTTGGGCCCCTTAGTATCAGCAGAGCATCATTTAAACACCTAAATATTGTTGCTAACCATGTCCATCCTTTTATGAACAGAGTGTACCTGTTTTCTGATCGCTGCTTCGATCAGGATAAGAAACACATGTCAACATGAACCTGGAATCTGGGACGTTTGGAACACCTCGTTGAACCATAAAGAATTAAAACAGCTCTGAAGGCGCAAACTTGGGTCCAACCCTGTGTTCCTAACGAAGAGGTCAAAGGGCAGTGAAAATCTTTCCAAAAGGCACCAACACCAGAGCACAGATCCAGTTTGGTGGCTGAAAGTTTGCACACTTACTTCCTGCACTTGTATCTTCATGCTGTCTCAGTAGCTCAGTCTCAGATGTTGCTGCTTGTGTAATAACACAAAACCTGTGTTATTACATTGATCTCAGCGAGGTTTCAGGCTGTTTGTTGGTTTAAGTAACAAAAGAAAATGCGATATTTTTGTCTTTGTTTTTGGAGTGCAAATGTTAAAAAAGACAAGAAACCACATGGGTTTCTTCATTCTCTCTTATTTGGAGCACTCTGAGCCAAATAGTTCATCCGTTACTTGAAACATTTTGGGCTTGAATCCAGCTCATGACACAACTGAAGATAGCGAGCAGCCTGCCCTACTTTTCTGTGAAACTCTTTATTTTGGCAGGAAGAGCAGGCGGGGAGTCGCGCACACAGGGGGAATCCCAGCCTTCTCCTGACATTTCTTGCTTGTATTGTGTCTGTCTTTTAAATTTGCCTGGCACTTATTTTGCTCTTACATTGGCATTCTTGTCTTAACAGGCTTCTTGCTTTATTGGAAATAAAGTCACAGTAGCGCTAAGCCTGTTGTTTCATAAAAGCCCTTAGCTTTGCTTTTTGTTGCCAGAGCACCATCTTTAATCTGCTGTTGCACTCAAACACGGCACACCTCCTCCTCCGAAGCAACTGACACAACCATCTTGTACGTTCAAACAAACGCTCTCTATATGGACACAAAACTGGTTGAATGTAAATGAATCTCACACAGGCGACGGTAGGCCGTCCTACTGATCTGATCGTTCTCTGCATCTGCTCCCACTGCAACTGGCAAGAGAACAAGAAGTCCAGCGTGGAACGGCTTTGAATCGTCATTGAAGAGCGGGGCGTACTGTCGCCGTGGCTTTCCCGCTCATCGGAGCTCGCTGTCATTTGGCTTGTACCTCGCACGGTCTGTGTCATGACACGGGGAGTAAAGATCAGCTGGTTTTACAAAGGATTTCTTCTAGTGTCTTATTTATTTTTGCTCTCATTGTCCTCA